CTGCCAGGCAGAAGTGCTAACTATTGAGCCACTGTGCTGCCCAGATATATATATGTTTGTTTGTATATTTATTTTGTATTTTCTTTATACCGTAGCACTGCTCTCCCTCATATTCAAGCTACAGTCCTGAAGAAGCCAAATGCGCAAGCGAAACGCGTTGACCGTATTTTGAAATCTATGCATGTTGTCACTGTGTGCTGAGTGGTTATCCTTTACTATGCATGAGGGGGGCTTTGTGCTCAACTTGATGTGCTTTGTTCTTATCTTCTCTTTTGAAGAGTATCTTTTGTAATATGGGTCCTATTATGGACATATGTATCTTTCATGTCAATAAATGGCTATATGTATTTTATTGTGTGGTCTGTTTTTGTGCCCAAAGAATCCAATGCCTTACCGTACTTAGCAGTTTGGTCCTTTTTCTCTTCAATATTTTAAAAGTGTAGTTTCTGAACTTCTTATTTGCAGCTACACACTGTGGCTTCTTAAAAATGTATTAAAATGTCAAGACAGAGTGCAAAAAAAAAAAAAAAAAATTAAAAGTCAACCCCCAAACACTTTCCCATTCCTTTATCATCAATTATTCCTTAAATATTATAAATATAGACTTCAAGCATGTTTTTGGTAGAAATTGGTTAGCGTCAATGCAGTAGTCGTGCAAATGAATAGACAGCTAATAGAAAGAGATATGGCACAATAATGGACAGTGTATAAGCAGCTTTATATAAGCAGGTTGGTTAGGCCACAGTATAAAAGGGAGAAACATGGCAAGTTTTATCTTGAAATAAATATTTGAGTGTATTATTTGAGAGACAATAGCCACAAATTATTGTACAGTGCCTGGACATTGATAGCTTCTGATAGTAGCAGACATAAAATGCCCTCCTATGGTCATTGGCTGTCTGCCTTAAACAACAGGCATTAGAAATGGGAAGGGGGGGTTATCACCAGGGGGAAATGTAGGCAGCAACAAAAATCTTCCTTCAACAGGCAAACATATTACAGAGATAGTCTAGGTGGTTTACTTTTTTTTTTTTTTTACATATTTGATTATTACTTTTTTATTTACAGTTTTAATTGTTTTTCCTTGTGAGACTGTCCCTGCTCTGGTCAAGAAAACAAAGGAAACTGTAAACAATGTTAATCAAGAAAGAAGTCCTAAGCCTCAACCTAAGTATCTATGCAAAACCAAAAAGGGTTCCATATAACATTGACACTCCCCTCTTAATAGTGATAGCTAAAAGGAATACCACTTTGTAGGTGACAGTAGAGCATTTGTAGGTTAGAGCGGGTCCAAAAGTCAGTTTGTGAAGCACAGAGAGAACCTGGTTCTGATCCCATGAATGAGTGGATGAGAGAGGCCGCACACCACCAGCTCAACAGGTGATAGGAAATGTGAACTGCATCAGTCTTGAGCTCCTTCTGAGCCCAGTCTCTGATGTATTTTCCCCTGCCCATTGGGGCTAAATCATAGAGATGGAGTGGAGCAATACAATTCTATTTATACATTATCAGCTGCTCGTAAAACATGAGATTCATTTTTCAACACATGGAAACAGAGCTGAAAATTTTTTTTTAGAGAGATAGCTGACTCCCGACAATGATGTTACCAAATTATGATGGCAGATTTTTAAATGAAAATTGTTTTTTAAATAATCCACTGATAATGTTATATAATTAACTGCAAGATTGCATGAGGTTTGTTGTTTGGGAGTTGAAAGATAGCTAATCCAAAAATGAAAAGTACAAAATAAAAAACTTTGTGCTTTATTAGCAACTTAAAAAAACAAACAAATGAAGTGGCAGTAAAAGATGAAGGGGAAACACCCTGCATCAAAAAAATCATTGTTATAAAAGCACAAAGGTGTGTATGAAAAGACACATTCATTGTCATCCTATTTAAGAAGGCATTATAGAGTCATGTAGGACATGATGCACACAATATCATGTTTACCACATTTGGGGATCTGAAGCTAAAAGCACCCCATATTCTATACTCCTGTTTCTGATAGGATGCCAGTACTGGTATCCTATTAATGCTGTAGATATGTGTGCAGTTCTCACATCTCTGCTGCACACAAGGTGATGTTTTATTTAGTACTGGGCAGTTTAGGTAGCTTCTCCCAAGAAAGAAAGCTTATTTGTTGTTGTGGATGAAGCTCGGTAGTGATCTTTTTTTAGAGCTTCTAGGTGTCTGTTGTAGGTTACCACAGGTAGGATCTGATTATCCTTTTTAGTCAATTTATAGTTTAAGGCTACGTTCACACTAGCTTTGTCATCAGCATCAGACAGGCGTTTGGGAAGCGTTTTTAACGCTTCTCAAAAGGACTCTCACACCTAAGTGTTTTCTGCAGTGTTTTGCGTTTCACCTCTGTGCGTTTTCACCCAATGCATTTCTTGGAAAGGGTCAGGGACCAGTGAGGCAGTACTTTCCTCATGCTGTGACAGCGTGAGAAAGGTGCTGCTGATAACCAGTAACTGTATTTACTCTGTGATCTGCTGTGTCATTGGAAACAGCTGACAACATGGTAAAATGTGCTGTGATTGGCCTTTTACCTCATCACATGATCAGCTGTGTCTGTAGGGCAGAGCGGTCATGGAGATCGCCGAGTGCTCACCCCTGGAGGCACGCGGGAGGGCGCATTCTGGGAGGACATCCTCTCAGAACTGAGTAACCACGCTGTAGCCATCATTCATCTGTAGCACGGTTACCAATTGGTTAAAATAGACTTCACTTCCCACAGGTGCCTCATATTTATTGCATCTATGATCTTATCACCCTCCAAATGGTTAGATTATCATCCAAGTGCTGAGGCTATTGCCCCAAATGTGCCTCCCTTATATAAGGCCACTGGGATGGTGCAAATGTGAGCATCCTGGATAATTCAAGATGGCTGATGAAGCATCACCTTGATGTGCGCATGCGTGCCCCCATAATGGCCGAATCTTGTCCCAGAGGCCTGGGCATCGAAGGTGCGCATGAGCAGTCCCGATGGGTGCACATGTGCAGCACGCTGCCCATAGTAAGGATGTAATCAACCTAAGCAGGCAGCGTCCTACTAGCTTATATTAGGCTTTTGGCTCCGGCGTATCACACCGATGCCTCCAGCAGAACTTTCCCTATAGAAAGATTACATAATAAAAGATGGAAAAATAGAGCATATTAAACCACCAAATATCTGGCAGAACACAGTAATTCACAATAGTTAATATTATTTTATGATTACATAACACTTAATCATGATACTTTATAAGGCACTATCAATGACAATATCAATATCAGACTGCCAATGTAAATAACTTTCAAATTTTTATATTTATCCCCATTCTAAACATCATCATTACTATATTATAAAAATGATTTAAAACCAATCACATTGTTCAGGCCTGGCAGATTCGTTGCCTTCAGGTGGTGGACCCATCTAGTTTCACATTGCAAAAATCGCTTGTCAGAATCACCTCCCCTTTCATTTTTATATACCTGGTCTAATGCCATGAAGGACATAACTGAAACGTCATAGTTATGGAGAAGGCCTACATGCTAGCCTATGGGGGAGATGATTTTGCCATTGGATATATAATATTCATGATCATGGACCCTTTTGTGGAATGTTCGTTTAGTTTTCCCCACATAGAATGCTTTACATACGCATTAATATATCTTTCTGCAATCTGCATATTTCATTATCTACAAATAAGACATGCATAGGTGAGAGCTCCAAAAAAGTACAGTGTTGCAGTGAATGTGTAATCATTTGTGAACTAACTTATCTAGCTACATGGAAATATTACATGCTTATGCCTGCATATGCATGGTGACCGTTTTTGCTGTTTTGTCAGTGCTACTTACCTTCCTCGATTCAGAGCCACCTCTACTTTTTTTATACATTTTTTATATATACAATACATTGTACAGTACAAACACCTCAATGTAAAAAAGATATGTTAAAATACAGGACTCAGAAAATAAAACAACTCAATACCAGATACAGGAGTTAGACAAAAAATGGAAACACTATATGATGTGCAGATGTGAACGTGACAATATGTTTTGCATTGGAAGCAGAAGTGTTGTAACATTCTTTTGCTTCTGCTGTGTGATGAGATATCTAGCTAACAGGTGGAAAGTCTCACTTTGGTCATTGACCGCATGCTCTGCTAGTAATACAGAGTCATGTCAGAGCTTACCAAGCTTCAAAGAGAGCAAATTGTTGTTCCATGAAGTACAGTATCAAAAGTTATAACGGCATATACAGCTTGTGGGAAAATGTCGTCTGATAAGCATAAGCGCAGTTGATATGGTCAACTAACCGAAAGAGACAATTTCAGTCCCATGAAGACTGGTTGTAGTCCAAACGGGGATGGGGGATCCTCCTCCTTTCCCTCTTGGTGAAGCTTCTCATGGTGTGGGTTTGGAGTCTGTAGGGCTGATGTATATTTTGATGGGTTTGATGTTTCTGGCCCGTGACTGTGCTTGCAATTTTTCCTATGTCTTGTGTAATGATTTTTTGTACCTCAACCACTTGCCCTTCTGAGGATTTACCCCCCCCCCCCCCCCCTCCTGATCAAGCTATTTTTTGCATTACAGCACTGCGTTACTTTAACTGACAATTGCACAGTCATGCAACGCTGCACCCAAATGAAATTTATGTCCTTTTTTCCCACAAATTTAGATTTCTTTCAGTGGTATTTGATTGCCTGTGTGTTTTTTATTTTTGCGCTATAAAAAAAAAAAGGCAGACAATTTTGAGAAAAAAACAATATTTTTTTACTTTTTGCTATTAAACATGTCCAGTAAAAAATTTTAAAAATCAAATTTCATCATAAATGTATCCAAAATGTATTCTGCTACATGTCTTTGCTAAAAAAAATTCCAATACGTGTAAATTAATTGGTTTACGTGTAAGTTATAGCGTTTATAAATGGCGGTATAGAATTTTTTTTTAAAAAAAATTATTTTTACTGGTAATGGCGGTGATAAGCAACTTATAGCGGGACTAAGGGACTGCGGCGGGCATTCTGACACTGGGGGGAACTGACTTGGTGTCACTGACATCCCCAGTGACAACAATACAGTGATCAGTGCTAATAAAAAGCACTGACACTGTACTAATGGCACTGGGCAAGAAGAGGTTAACATGAGGGGCGATCAAAGGGTTAACTGTGTGATGGGTATCTTTTACTATGGGGCCGTGTGTTTGTGTTTTACTGTAATCACACTGCTTAGGATGGCTGTGCTGTGCACAGCCATCCAAAGCAGTGTGCAGGAGCTGACAGGGAGAAGTATTTTGTTTACAAAAAGTTCTCCTCTCCTTCAGAGATGCTCGGCAATCACCAGGTGCCCTACCCAGAAATGCAAAATCATGTTTATATACTGTAAGTGATTTTGTGCTCCTGTGCCGCCCTCTAGCAGTATAGCAGGAAGTGGTTAAATGAATGTTTTTGCATCTTCATTAGTATCCTTCACACATGTATGTTCCTGATGAAGCCAAGATGGTGAAATTCATAAAAGACTATGTGTAAAGGATTCTTCCAACATCGCGACTCTATCTTCAGTCAGTGTATTTTCACCATTATCCTTGTACAATTGTTTTATTGATCTTAAATATCAATTGTAATAAAATTTGTAACATTTTAACTGTTGCATGCCTGGTTACAACTTTCACACCTCAAAAGTCCCATTGTAATTATCTGTACTGTTTCTTTTAGCAGGTGTGGCCCAAGTGTAACAATGGCCATCTATATGAGTGCTACATGGTGATAAATCAATAAGAGAAAATGATCTTTTGCATACGAACTCCACTGCACACTTTTATTTTACTCAAGGGCAATTGGAGAGGTAAGCAAGTATAACAAAGAAAGAAATTATCGACTAAGGGTAAGAGTGAGAAGAGATGGGGATGGGAAACACACCAAGCCAATCTCTCTCCCTTCCTCTTACCCCTAAGAGGCAGTTGCCATGTTTGTATCATCATCAGTCTGCAGTCGATTTTTATATTCTGCCATCATATTTGGGAGATAAATGGTTGGGTTAGTCACATAAAACAACAGGTCATCTGCATATGCTGCTACTTTTTGTGTTTTGGTTCCAGATATTCCCCTGATTTTAGGATTTGCCCTGATTCTGCTTAGCAATAGTTCCAGGATAAGAATAAATATAGGAGTTAAGAGGGGACATCCCTGTCTCATACCATTTCAAATTTTGAAAAGAGAAGAAAATACCCTATTCATCTGGACTCCTACCATCAGTCTGAAGTATATATCTGCAATCCAGGACATCATCTTCCCATGGCTTATATGTTTAATGGTCATGGGCATGAATGTCCATCCAGTCCAAGGCTTTCCCTGTGTCAGTCAAAAGTAGAAGTATAGGGAGGTGCTGTGACCACGCCAGATGTAAGATGTCCAGGGTTCTAATTATTGTATCTCTATCTGGGACAAAGTCCACTTGGTCACAATGGATGACAGTCTAACTGCTGAAATCTTAGTGAACAGTTTCAAATCTGCATTTAGCAGGCAGATCAGGAAGAATTAGTGTAATGTGGGATCCTAATTTTTTCATGGAAAATCCCAAGTCTATTCCCACTGCATTATACACTTTCACAAAGAAAGGAGAGAGCATTGATGTAAAAACATTTGTAATACCCAATGGAAAAGCTATCTAGGCCAGTACCTTCCCTGATTGGGTCTCTTTTTTGGCTGAGAGGAATTCAATGGAGGAGATAGGAGCTTTTAAAGCTGCTGAATTAAAATATTGAATCCTCCTGCGCTGCTTAATATATTTTAACAAATATTGTTGCTGCCAACACCCAATCCTCTCCTCAGAACAAACAAAAAACAGATATTGTAACAGTAAATGGTGTGGCACTACGAGTTTACTTTTTCAGGGTAAAGATACCGTTGTTAACAACAAGTAAAAAACGTATCAACAACTGATGTAATGAGAATCAAGCATAATAATTAAGTGATTAAAACATGCCACTCAGTGGTTCCCTATATAGGGATATGCAAAAGTGCTAGAATAATCCACAGCACTCAGTGTTAATAACCATAAAAATGCAGTGATGATAGTGTCCACATAATTAAGTGTTTATCACACAATTGGAGAAAAAAACACGCTTATGCTCCTCTTGCCAGTGCGGGTGACAGGTGAGAATCCTATGTGGCTAGCGTGCCTGCTCACCTTCCCCCTGCGACCCACAGGGGCCAAAATGCCTTTGGATCACCTCTAGATCCTACATGCTCTCTCTTGATCAGAAGTTACTCCACAGACTCCAATCCTCACTCCTCCTCCACCTTCCTCTTATCCTCCCCGTACAGGTAGCAATATTAAGTATTCATGAGGTCATAAAGGTCATGGAATAGAGCACACAAAAGATCCTCCATAGTGTGAAAACCGTATGGCACATTTAATGTGAAAAAACACTAAATAAACACTCACATTTGCAGTGAAAGATACAAGCCTTTTTGTGTCACCTCACATGGGTGTACTATAGGTCCTCTGGTGTACCAAGATGGCGCTGGACCAGAAGCGCGTCACCACGTATGTCTCATCTACGTGTTACGCCATGCCTCTCGTAGCTTCGTCAGGATCCTTTTTTGATCGTTAAAAGGTATATTTGCATTAGTATATATATTGCTTTGGTCCTATCCAAACACAGAGACTTAATTTTTTTCTGAAGTACAGTCAGCTTTTCCAGTGTGGATCAGGATAGAGTCTCCCTGTGCACATCTTCTGGGTTCTGGGTGTCTCCCAGCAAAGTAACAAACAGCATGGCATTAGGTTTCTCAAGTTGGTATCCTAACTTAATGAAAAATTCCCCTCATATATGCCTCAAGGGTTTTTCCCAGAGGTTCACTGGGTTATGGGATGGGGTGTCATTGCATACAAAATATGTTATCAGCCGATCTGGGATTTCAGTCAAGAGTTGTGGATTATGTAATAAGGTGTCATTGAGACACCATAACCATTGCCTTGGAGACAAGTCAGATATCATGAAGTCAAGAGACATCGATGCATGGTCAGATACAGTAATACTTTTGACAGATGCATCCCATACTGAGGGGATGTCATGGTGCTTTATCAAAAACATGTATATCTGTGAGTATGAGGGTGAGAGACAAAAGTGAGGTCCTTTGTTTTGGAGTGGAGAATATGCCAGATATCTACAAGTCAGAAATGGTAGAGAAGCTTCTTAATCTGTTGTAGCATATTAAACCCCAAATGGTGTGCAGTGCTAGTGATTAGTAATTCAAATATATACACAAAAAATTAAATGTATGATTTCTTATTTAACAATATAACATGTGCACGAAAACTGTCTTTTGAGTGTCCATCCACATGCAGATTGTAGATATTAATCCACTTCTAACATGCTTGCAAACAAATGTTCCTCATTTTTTTTGTGCAAATTTGTGAATCTTCTCACCTTCCAGTAGGACCCAGGTGTCTTAAAGAGTCTACTGTATATAAGTGTTTTTGTTTTTTCAGCCAGCAAACACTCCATGTCTCCACCCAGAATCAGAAATGTATTTATTACTTCACCTATTCACTTTTCTTCTTCAATTCCTTGGTCATGTAACACTGTATCCAAATACATTTATATAATTTTTTCACACAAATAGAACTTTCTTTTGGCAGTATTTGATCACCACTGGGTTTTTATTTTTTATTATATAAATAAAAAAAGACAGAACATTTTGAAAAAAATATATATTTTCTACTTTCTGTTATATAAAACATATTCAATAGAAAGTAAAAAAAATATATTCCTCTACAAGACTTTGGTAAAAAAAAAAAAATAATAATTGTATATTAATTGATCTGTGTGAAAATTATAGCATCTACAAATTATGATATATATACTAGAATTTATGCAACTATGTTATTATACTGATAATGGCTGTGATCAGTGACTTATAGTGGGATTGTGCTAGTGTGGTGGTGTCAGAGGTTCAGCCACAGAAGAACAGGCACATCTGCCAACCCTTGGTATGCCCACGCTAATCATCGCAGAAATGCACACAACTATAGGGTATAGGTGCTCGGACACGCACCACCATGAAAATGTGCATGCGCATACAATCGCGCACGCAGATGCGCCATGGCGCATGCGATGCGTGACAGTTGCTGGTGCCCACTGGCCTATTTAAAGTCAGCACTCTGGTGCAGGGGCGTCCCTAGGCAGGTGCGGGGGGGTGACACCTTTTGCATGGGGTGACATCACGCCCGCTCCACTAGGGGCGGACTGACCGAAGGCTCGGGGTCACTACAGGGCCCCACGAGAGGCTCAGTCTGTCCCTGTATGTGCCACTACTGAAATAAGCAAGCATTGAGGGGACGGACAGTGAGGCATGCACTTTGGACACCTCTCCTCCTTGGAGTTTTAGCAGAGGGGCCGGTCCATATCCCTGCCACGGGTGCTGAAGTCGGAGAGCTGGAGGCTATAGAGCACTGTGTTGTTTGCAAACACAGGGTTCTGTTCTGTGATTGGACATAGTCAATCAGCAGGTCTCAGTCATAAATCATTGGCTAGGACCCACTGACAAAATTGCATGGTGTCCAACAACAGCCTGGGTCAGCAGCGGGTGCTCTCATGCCCACTCCAGATCTAGTAGCAGGCTCTAAATGGGTATTTACATTGCTGAGCATGCAGCTGCTGCCCGGTCACAGTAAATCTACTGTGACTGGGTGGCAAGTGGTTAACAAAATAACATACTGTATATGTATAATAACGTAAAACTAAATCCTGTGGTTCCTGAACAAAATAATGTTAATGTATATCTAAATAAACCTATCTAGTGGCTGACAGCGGTGGAGGACCGTGTGGATACTTTGGAATCCGAAGCAGAAAAATATCTAAATGATATGGAGGATGCTACTACTCAAATGAGAGCAATGAAGGAAAAAAAAATTGAGGATTTAGAAAATCGATCCAGAAGAAAAACTTTGTGAATAATATGACTGCCAGAATCCTATAATGCTAGCATGCTGCTAATATACTGGGACTTTCAAATCCATGTAAAGTGGAATGGGCCCATAGAATTGGTGCCAACATCCCAGACCACAAAAATACTCGCCCATTTATAGTACATTACCTGGATTATACAGATTGTAAAACGGTTTTTTCGACAGGCATATAGAACAGGAAAACTAGGTAAAGACTTAATATTAGACGGCCAAAAATTATTAATGTTTGCAGACTACTCTGTGAAAGTAACGAGAAAGAGAAAAGCCTTTCAACAGATTTGTACAGAGCTCTTCCAGAAGATTTGTTTTACATTGGCGTATCCAGCTATTCTTTGATTACAGACACCTGATGGCAAACAACATGTGTTTATTAACCCAGAGGAAGCTCATCAATT